GAAAATCATGAACGTTATGTGATGCACATATAATGATATAATCGAGATTATCACAGTTAGAAAACTTTTCGTGGACTTATAGTCGCCGAACCAAAGATAATGCGATTGAACTTATTTCCTGGTGGTTTTAACGTAACCACTTTCATGATACTAATTCAAAATAGAAAAGTAAACGAAGTTGTATATTATTTGGTAAAAGACAAATAAAATAGTTTCCACTTCTTTTCGACGTTAATCGACTAAATAATTTCATTTGTAAGCTTATTACTCGTAACTCGTAATAATCTGGTTAATAAATACCATTCATACGAAAACTTCATTAATTATTTCAATAAAGCTTTCAATAAAGCAAAAATAAAATTGAGAAACAATTACGATATTCTCGATTACGATTCCGTGTGGTAAAAAATATAAGTTGGTGAAATTCCATTGAATAGAAAAAAAAGAAGGAAAAAAAAAAGAAAAAAAAAAGAAAAATAATAAAAAATAAAAAGAGAAAGAAGAATAATATTGAGTTTGCCATGTACTATTATATTTTGTTCGTATTTGATTGCATTAATCGCCATTACGAAAACAAATCAAATACGTCGGTACGAATGAAATATAGACGAAACGCGTAATGACAAAACTTCGAATGCATTCGAGGCTGGAAATTAATTGTTAGGAATAATCGTCCATTGCCTCCGCCACTTCGAATCACATCGAATGGTACAATTTTACTCATGGAAACGACCGAATTAATTTTACCGAGTTGTTTCAACGTTGTTCTACGATGAAAATCGTCTTCTCGCGAATAATGCGTAAGCACGAATTACGACTCTACGTGAATTCCTTTGACGTCATAGAATTCGTTAGAGTGAATGATTTAATCACCGTAAGTACTTCTACGACTGGATAAGTTTCGTTTTAATGAAAATCCTAAGGATCACTCAAACGACTACGATCATTTTCAAAGTTTTAATCTCAAATCATCTTAAAAATGGAAAAACTTCATTCATTTCGAAACGAATGTATTTTGCAATTAAATCGGAAAAATAAAAGAAATGAAAAATCAATGAGCCAAAAATCCATAATCCATATAAATTTATTCTACGTCGAAAACGATTTTATAATTTAGAAATAATATTTTTAAAACGTATTTCTTCTTGCGAATAAATCATTTTCTCGGAGGGCCTATTTTAAAGCGTTACTTTGTCAAACGTGATTCGCAATATCGATGATACTTTCGTTCGACTTCCTAGCTTCAGGAAACAATAATGACTTTTAAAGCTTTCTTCTCCTTCGAGAGTACGACGCGTCGAGAAACAAACAATGCGTTTCATCGTATCGATTATTTAACTTATGAAATATAACTTTCTTTGATATAGAATAAAATTTATTACGATTATAAATTTTAATTAATCATTAGCTTTCTTACTTTTTCTGCTAAACGAAGCGAAAAGACGTAATGGAATAAAATGCATCGATGATATACGCGTTTAACTGTGAAAAAGGAAAAGAATGAATGAGAGAGAGAGAGAGAGAGAGAGAGAGAGTGGGTGGTAGAAAGAAAGACAAACTCATTATTAATTACCATTATTCTTACGAGATTGTATTTTCTGTAATAGGCTCCATGGCTTTCCAAGTATTTGCTCAGTTACGTAAATATTCGCGGTGTAGTATGGTGGTTTCGTAAATATCTGATACTTCGTAAAGTATTGAAATAGTTTGGGGATTCTCAAAGCTTTTGGCTTCTTCTTGATCTTCCAGGGAAATAAACTGGATTAAGAAAAAAAAGCAAAAAAAAAAATATATATATATACATACATCTATCTTTTATCCAAACATATGCAGTATTATATTCTTATCGTCGATATAAAAAAAAAATTATTATCTCTTTTAAATAATAAGAAAGTATTAACACCCTTTTGAATGCAGAAAATCAGAAATTCAAATTGAGATGATAAATATCCTCGAGTAAAATCTAATTGTAATTGTAATAGTACTATTAAATTGAAGTACGCAATAGCGTGACCTTACAAACTCAAGTCAATCGTCTTTGTTCTGATGATATTCGTTCGAACCGCTAAGCATTCCTTGAATCGACCTCGAGCGATTCCTCGAAGGTACGTCGTAAAGATACGAAAGGGAACACGCTCGTTTCTCTCCCGTCGAGCATGGGTTTACATCGGTACGATCGGAGACGATTGGATCGAATACGACTTTCTACTTCCTTTTCTCTCTCTCTCTCTCTCTCTCTCTCTCTCTCTCTCTTTGTTTCTATCTATTTCTATCTCTCTATCTCGTTTTATTGCGAATACCATCGAACGGCTTAACGAAACGGTGGAAGACGAAAACGAAACTCTACGAGCTAGTTTTAAAGGGAAAAAAGGGCCAAAGGAAGAGAAGATACACTTTTCGTTTTGTGGTCAAAAGAAAATTCAAGGGATACTTCGATTCGACCTTCGAAGCCGCAGCCGCGTCCAAACTTTTCCGTCGAAGTACGAGGCTTTGAGGCTTGATACAAGAAAAAAAAGAAAGAAAGAAAAATAAAAAGAAAGAAAAGAAAAAAAGGAAACAAGAAAAAGGGGGAATGAAAAAGAAGAGGGTTAGAACTTGTATCAAAACCGTGAATCGAATGTTTATCGAGTATTACAGTGGTAAAAATGAAAAATTTCTCTGCTTCTCTCTTCTTTTCTCTTATCCCATTACTTTTATCCTCCCTCCCTTCCACCGTTCTTTTCTTTCTTTTCCATTCTTTGTTTTTTCTTCTTTCTATTTGAATCAACACGGTCGAGCATTTATGTAAGTTCGACGTAGTTGCGCGTAGTAAAAAGTTTTATTACTCGATGCTGTGGATTTAATGGGCATGTTGAGAGGGTGGTACTCCCACGTTCGAAATAAGAGATTTAAACTAACTTTAAGCTATTTCAGAATAAAATTTATATGCCCCGAATACGTGTCCTTAGGTCTTTCCTTTTGTAAACAGTGTTAAATGTTCCAATGGAAAAATCGACAAATTTTTTTTACTATCAACCGTCTACGATTAACACCACGATAAACGCATATAGTATTAAATTTATACGGGGTTCCAAAAGGAAATAAAAGTGTTCTACATGGAAGTCCGCATGTTCAAAACAGAAAAGAAACGTGCAACGAACCGTATTAAAATCGTTTGATATCGTGTCACTTAACGGTGAACGCACTTGAAATCAAATGAAAATATTTTTCTGTCGGTATCTATCAAAGAAAGAAAAATATGACAAAATATTTCAAACGTAATGAAGTATATATATATATATATATATATATATATATATATATATATATATATATATAAAGAAAAACAAAAAAATTTGAAAAAAATTTGAAAAAAATTTAATACCGTATTAAATAAATAAATATTTATAGGGAAATTTGTAAAAGTAAGTGGGAGTAAATGTTTTTCACGTAAGTCAACAATAATAAACACAACCATAAATATTGTCAAAGTTTTTCATAATTCATTAACGAGTAGTATAGTACGAGTATAATGACGTTTCAAATCGTAATTTGGATGAGTTGCATTCGAAAGCAACTATATTATTAAAGGGCAATGTAATGAAAGGACAATAATGAAAAATATAATGATGAAAAAATAGTCGTGCTTTTTTCTATGATTTGTCCTAATTAATGAAAGAAAAAAGAGAGAGAGAAAGAGAGAAAAGAAAAAACAAAGTATTCCATATTGTGAAATTTTCACGTCTTTCTAAATTATCGTCAAACGAAAGAAAATGTTATTTCGGTGAGTGCCGATCTTCCGTATCGCTTTTCGAATAAGGAATAGTGGACAGATATATCTCGGAAAGTTCCTCTCGCGAGGCTCCGTGTCCGTCGTTTAATTGCCCGAGCTAGATCGTGCCCGTCACCGTCGTGCCAGAACCATTAATTTCATTTAATCGACCGCCCTCTTTACTGCTTTCCGCGCTATTCAGAGATCGAGAGAGAAAGGGGGAGAGAAAGAGAGAGAGAGAGAAAGAGAATAAAGAAAAGGATAAAAAAAGGGAGAAAAAAGAGAAAGAGAGAATAAAGAAAAAAATAGAAAAAAAGAGAGAGAGACAAAGATGAAGCTGTAGGTAAACCAATCTTGGTAGAGGTCCATCCTTTCACGCGCGATCACAACCGATTACGTAGAAGAAAATGTTCGAGAGAGAAATGGAGAAAGAGAGAAAAAGAAAGAGAGAGAGAGAGAGAGAGAGAGAGAGAGAGAGAGAGAAGGAAAAGACTTTTAAAGGACACCCAGCTTCCCCTTATCTTCTATATACATTTTAAAAAGAAAAAGGAAGAAAAAAAAAGGAGAGAAAGAAAAATGTCTATAAAGAAAGATTCTTAGAAGAAAAAAAGGAGGGAACTACGGTCAGCAAGTAAAATATTGTAATATCTTTTCTCGTTGGAAAAGTTCAACCTGAGAGAAAAATCCTGACGAGAATTCAGAAACTCGATCCTTTTCAATATTTTTCTACGTTCGTACACTTTTTTTCTTTTCTCTTTTTCATTATTTTTTTATTTTTTTATTTTTTTTTTTTTTTAATTTTTTTTCTATCAAAGAAAACAATCGTTCCACTGTCTTCCTCAACGAATATGATGAGAGTTACGTAGTTCATATAATAACGTAGTCCAGCATCGAGTAATGACGTCACCGTCGAAACGAATTCGATTATCCCGTTACTCGATCGTATTCGAGAAGCACTTGTGATGTGAAAGGACGAATAGTCCTTATAGTCCTTGAAATTCCTGTGTTCGTGGCGTCTCCTTTGAAGTGGTCGAGGAAGAAAGTCTCTCTCGCAAAACGATCCTCACTCAATATATATACTCTATATATATATATATATATATATATATATATATATATATGTATATATATAAATATATATATAAATATATGTGTATATATATATACACGCGTATATGCACCGAAACCACCACGGAAAATAAAACACATGCACAAACAGAGGCACACGTACGCGCACGTACACACTTACCCCTCGCAAGTAACATCACAATCTCGATCCATTCTTCTCCATGATCCTTCTTCTCCTTCTCCCCCTCCTTCTACTCCTCTTCACTTCCTCCTCTCTCTCTCTCTCTCTCTCTTTCTCTCTTCGTACAGCTCCCTCTTTATCCTCTCTCGAAACCACCTTCGATGAATTACTGTACTTTCGAATCGATCACTCTATCCTTTCACGATCTTCGAAGAAGAGAACTCTCTTATCATCACTTTTTTACAAAAAGACACGCGAAAACACGAAATAAGAAAATGAAAATGTCCCGCGCGACCGCGACTCTCGATCACACGCGTTCTACTGAACTCTCGCGAACTTACGATCCTCCCCACCACCCGAACCCTTACTCGGTCTCTCTCTCTCTCTCTCTCTCTCTCTCTTTCTCTTTCTCTCTCCCTATCTCGATTCCCCTTCTATAACTCGATTCTCTGTCTCTCTTTCTCTAAATGTCTCGGTCCTACGACCCTCACCCTACGACTAGGACGAATCAAGCGGGTAAGAACTCGGGGATGTATATGGAAAGAGGGTTGCGTCTGGACTTGAATGATATTTTCGAGGGGTGTGTATTTCGTTTCTTCGATTGTCGACTGGAAAAAAAACGGCGCATGCATAAAAGGTTGCTTCACGATGGAATAGGAACGAAAACGAAAGAAAAGGAAATGAACAACAAGAAGAGGGGAAGAAAAAAGGAAGAAAGGAGAAAAGAAGATATGAAATGGAGAGGGTGAAAACGTGGGGAGCGCGCGCGCGCATTCACACGCACTGCTTCTAGAGGGGCGAAGGGGTGGAAAGAGCAAAATAGAAAGAGAGAGAGAGAGAGAGAGAGAGAGAGAGAGAGATAAATAGATAGATAGATAGATAGATACTGAAAATAGAGCTCTATATCGCGAAGACGAGGGAAATCCCGAGCTCAGCGTCCGCGTAGCGACTGGCGCCTGACACCTCCACCCTTCCGACAACAGCCCAACCCTGCCGTCGCGGCGACGGCGGCGACGGCGTGCGCGCCGCGAGCCAAAAGTGGAAGGGTGCCGAGCGACGAGTGGGGCGCCACCGGGCGCCAACCCCTACTCCTCAACCTTTTCCTCAACCCTCCTTCGCCTATCCCAAAGCGCACGCGCTCGGTCCTAGATTTCGTCTCGCCTCCTGATTTTTCCTAATAAAAACGTTTGTCTCGGTGAGTGGCCTGCCAGCCGTAGTACCTACGGTATATAACTAAAGTACATGTACCTTTCCCTTTTTGTTTACTTTTATTTTGTTTTCTTTTCTTTTTTGTTTTGACTTGACTCGCTTTGCTTTCGTTTTTATTTTCTTTTGCTTACCTTTTTTTCGAACTCAGAAAGAACGTTTTATTTCTCTTTTGACTGAGTCCCGATTCGTTACAATCACCTATCCCTTTTTATTTTTCTTCTTTCTTTTATTTTTTTCTCCAACTACTGTGTATTATTATTCTCTCGTAAGATACTGAAGAAAAAGAATGAGAAGAATGAACCATTTTAATCTGATTAATAGAAGATCCCTGGAACGTCTGAAAAAAGAAAGAAATTTATTTGATGTAATCGTTCGATCCACGTAATTATTGAAATAATATGCATCCAACGAAATGATACACCTAATACACTCGATAGCCCGTTTAAATAGCTATACCTTTTGGAAATGGAAAATTTGCTATATTTTTTATTAGAAATTTCTTACTTAAAAGTGTAATCTTTTTCAAATAGAATGACTTCGATGTTCTTTAACCAAAACGAATCGACGGGTGAAAATTTCGTCGCTACGAGTCCGTGCAAACGCGGGGGAAAAAAAAAGAGATTTGCAAATGGATTTGAAGCTGGAAACCTGTGAAATATGTTTTCCGACGAAAGCTTACGGACTATAAAATGTACGATGGTGGTACGAGGAAAAGGGAAAAGGAGAAAAAGAAATAGAGAAAAATAAAAAGAGTAAGAGAGTGAGGAAGAGAGAGAGAGAGAGAGAGAGAAAGAGAGCAATCGTGTAAAAGTGAACTACGAAACATCGTAGTTCGAAAGTTATTATTAGAGAGCTTGTCGTACTTTGATGAACGAAAGGAGCACATAGGAAATAGGCGTGGTAATTGGAAACGACGAGACCGCAGATTCACCTTCGCCTAGTTTTTGTCGACGGGATCTATCCTTATTAAAATTCAGAATACTCGGACTGTTGCCAAATAGCGAAAATAGGATAGAAATATGCCGGAAATTTTCTCTCTCTTTCTCTATAACGAAAAAGAACCTGTTTAAGACAACGTTACCCTTGCTACGAATATTATAAGATAATCGATTTGTACATTTAATTTGTTGGTTAATCGCTCTTAAAATAAATCGTATTATTCCTTTGAAAAGGTGAATGGATTTCGTTCGATACATTCGCTTCCTAAAACTTGCGAACGAATTCTAAATACAATTTTAATCTTTTATTATATCAAAACAAATTATTAATGGTTGTACAAAGAATTTTGAAGAAAATTATGGACTTGAAGAAAATTAAATCCAAAGAAAATAAAGTGAAACGAGTACGATATCTTATCGATATTTCACAGCAAAGATGAGAAATACGAAAATAACTTTTCTTACGTAGAAACTTTCTACATACATAAATACATACATACATATAAACATACATATACATATATACATATATATTTAGTAAGTACATACAATATCTACTTACGAAGCGTGTTTCACGTAACACCGCTTATTCGCTTTTAATAAGCCCCAAGGAGACATTACGACGTGGAACGTACGATGAGTATTTCCACTTTATAAATTGAAAGCCAAATCCGGCCGAAGCGTTTTCTCATTTAACTGAAACATCTTTCTCGTCGACTCACGCGAGAATTAAACGACGTAGTAAATTGATGGTCTCTCTCTCTCTCTCTCTCTCTCTCTCTCTCTTTCTCTCTCTTTCCCGATCTATCTACTTTCTATCTCTTTACTCTGAAAACTCAGTATGACAAGTATATGCAGGGGATATTTACAACATAACTATCTGTAAATATACTAACGTCAAGCATATTTCCGGGCTCACGGTTGGTACCGTCGGTGTCGGTTCTCTATCTCTCTCTTTCTCCCTCATATTTATACTTTGCACCAGAACCACGCCACGTTAAATCGTATTTTCTCCTACTATTCTCGTCTCTAACGCATCGTTTCATACCAATCGAATCGGACGGTGGAACATTTTTTAACGCTTCTTTACCTCCTCTGTAAGAGAAAAAGAGAGAGAGAGAGAGAGAGAGAGGAAACAGAAAAAAAGAAAAAGAAACGTCGAGGATAGAAGAAATCGTCTTCTCTCGTTTCGGTCACCGAATTTCAGTCGTCTCAAGCCACGTTCCGGGCTCGCTGCTACCAAAAGTAGTCTAGTCCGATCTCCGTCATACAAAAAGAAAACGCAAAGACTTCTCCTCTAAAAGTTTTCCCTTCTCCGAGACATTTAGCAGAAAGTAATAATTAATGGTTCGCGGTAAAGAAAAAGTTTACCGACAAACAGACCAATAAAACTCTTTGATTGTATCATCGATTATATCCTTCGCGATTTAATAAAGATCCGAGTTATTAAAGAAAACGATAATCAAGATAAATATTCAAATAACGTCAAAGTTTTCAATCATTAGACAGATACGGCGTAATTTAATATTTTTGATAACAAGCCATATAAAGCAATATAGTTAGATTATCATTCTATAATTAAACTCGAGTTAATTGCTTCGATAACAATATATCGAACCAATCGAACTAACTTACGTCGAATTCGGAAACTAATCTTTGAAATTTGGCGGGCAACATATCAGGCATCGCGAATTCACGAAACTAATTAATTCCATTTCTATACGAATAAACTCGCATTGAGAATTCTAAAGTCTCGTTTTGGACTTTGAGTATATAGGAGGTGCGAGAACGAGGACGTATTATTGGCGCTCAGTCTTGTTCGCAACCCATCGTTTTTCTCTTTCTCGTTTTTCTCTTTCCGTTCACCTACGTCGAGGTGCACACTTCGATCGTTCTTCATGACGTTTACAATACTTTTTTTCCTCTCCATATCGAAGTACACAAATCTTTTCACGCTCTAATTGACGCCCGTTGTCGATCGTATTCTTCGTTTCCTCGTACGGATGGCTTTTGTGATTTTTTTCTTCCATTTACTATTCTCTTTCTACGGAACTTACCGTGTTCGTTCGATTATAGTGATCGTCCTATCTACCACCTCCTACATATAGATCATTTCGATAAAAATCCGTTGTCTGATCAACGCAATCTTTTCAAACGAATGCCAAAAAAAAAAACAAAAAGAAAGAAAATACACGGGCTTTACAATTCACATTCATTTCTGATGAAAACTACAAAATTCATTTTGATATTATTCCATAAAAAAAGTCAGTGTTACAACGGAACATCTGCAGATTTGTAAAATCTTAAAGCAGAAGAAAGTGAAAAGAAATGAATTAATTGTATATATATATATATATATATATATATATATATATATATATATGTATGTGATAAAAAATTAAAAATAAGTCTATAGTAATGAAATGGCCTTTCTCGTTAAAAGTTTATTAATATTTTTTTCCCTTCTTTTTAACAATCCATTCTCAAATAATATCATATCGATACAATTTTTACGTAGTTGACTATTCATTTATTAATAAAAAAAAAGTTTTGTTTAAAACAGAACAAAATAGTAAAATAGGTAATTTCAGTCGTGCAGATAGAATTGGCTCGAACTCTACGAAAAATTTAAACTGACTTGTTTCAACGATGTCCAGAGATTGTTGAAGTGTCTGCATGGATGCATTTTCGCTCGTTCCTATCCGAGTTTGTGGAAAAATGGAAATGGGAAACGTGGACGCTATTATGTGTCGACTTCTATCTCCGATTCTACCGAGTACAGTTCTTCGTAAGTGGGTCTTGCGTTTTCCAAAGCTTGTTTCTTTAAAGATGTGTGCACGAATAAAGAAAATAAAAGAGAATAAATAGAGAGGGGAAAAAAGAAAAAAAGAAGAAGGAAAAGGAAAAAAGAAAAAGTGAGAAAGGCTCGTAACGTTTAAAGGAAGAAACGAGAATGCAAATGGAAGGAGCTTTAACGTTGGTATAAAATTTTCATTGACCGTTTAAAGTGTCCCATTTAAATATAATCGAACGCCCATTGTATGTAACAACATGTGTTTGTGAAAAATTGAACAAAGAAAAAGAAAAAATAGTCAATTTAAAAACGTATCGATATACGATATATAATATATAGAAAAATAAAAATAATTAAAAGACAAAGAATTACATTCGAAAATAATTTAATGGACATACAAAAGATCTTGACTCGTATGAGTGCGTTCGTACTTGCACACGTGTGTGCACCTGTGTTTTGAATTTATGTTTTATATGTTTACTATAATAATGACTAGTATTAAAGTTACATCGTTGACAATACGTCGTTACGTCTACTATTGTCATTATCGGATTAAGTAGAACATTAAGTTATTCAAATGATTCTATACCTCTAACTATATCCTGCCTAGGATTTTGCAGATGATAAACTTCGATAAGAGAAACTGAGTTTGAATGGCATTAGGAAGAACGATTCACGATGATTTATTACTTCATAAAACTGTCTCGTTTCGTTCCTCTCCTTTCTCATCTTTTTGTTTTTTGATAACTCAGGTAATAAACGAACTTGGCAAATCGTTTCAAAGAACGTACTTTGCATAATTGCTATTCAACTCTCTGGAACTTCGTCTCACTTTCCGTAATAGGAAAAGCATCGTCCTCTCTCTCTCTCTCTCTCTCTCTCTCTCTCTTTTTCCCTCTCTCTCTCTCTCTCTCTCTCTCGCTCTCTCCCTTCCTCTCCCTCTCCCTTCCTCTCCCTCTCTGTCTATCTATCTATCCATCTATCCATCTATCTATATTTCTATTTCTCATCCTGCCAAAAGATATGAATCAAAATGTTTTAATAGAAAACGATGAAAATGAACAAAGTGTATTGAATACGGACAAGATGTAACAATTATTATCACAGAATAGCACGACATACGTCGGCTCGTACGATAGATCTAACCGTCGGCAGAATGCAATTAATCAAATCGCACGTTCTAGCCCCTTTATCGTGGGTTACATAAACTTGACTTAGACTAATTATCGTCAATGGTAACACGACACGGATTAAAGTGCGAGAAATGTCGTTTGTGTTTCGCGCACGTGAAATGAGGTGAAATCATTTCATTCATCTATCTCTTTGACTGATGATAAATCAGAATTTTAACAAAATCATTATTATTAAATAAGTAAAATCGTTATCGTTCTAAATACCATATCGACGGTATTTACAACGAAACTGATTTAAATCTAACAAATGACTTATCTACACAAACTCAACACAATTTTCTCTGAATAAATAAGTTATTATTTATCGTTATACTACGTATTAACATTGAATAAACATTACGGAGAAAGGATTTTTGAAAATGTCGTGAAAGTAAATTTCTCGCCTTCTCTGTAAGATTGACTCGGTCTACGAATTAGCAATTCAAATATCCGGAAGTACATTCGTAGGATCGCGGTGGATTAAAGTGTCAAGCCAACTACTGTATTGGCTGAAAGCGATGGCTCGGACGACTTCGTTCACTCTGTGAATTATGTAGACATTGGTGTGCAGCAACGGCCGTTATCGATGAAAATCGGGTCACGAACGGGCGTAGCCATGTACAGAGTAAGCAAGAGGATAAGAGAAAGAGAGAGAGAGAGAGAGAGAGAGAGAAGACTACTCACCGAAATGTGCCCTTAATATTAAACCCTTCGAGCGGAGAACACAACTACGGCAATGTCTCTTCTCGCGTTTCAAACTCTCTCCTTACGGCACGAGCCACCGTAATAATTTATTACAAGAAATTTCTTCTTTTTATTTATAAAACGATGTAGAGCTTACGATCGCAAAAGATTTGTTCGATCTCCTGATCGTAAGCATTTGTAACGTGCTCGACTTACTCCAAAGAACGTATACAAGTATACCTTATATTTTCCCGCCCCATCTCCATTCCACTTCCACTCTCTCTCTTTCTCCCTTTCTCCCTTTCTTTCTCTACTTCTTTCAAAGAATATTACCCTCTCGATCGATGAAAGAAAAATTGGAACAAAGATCCGAGATATCGAAGTTCTTTTCAAAAAGGAACCAAGCTTGATCGATTATTACAAGGAAATCGACATTCCACGAGTCAAGATGCAACCTAGTGAAATACAAAGGATCAAGAATTTCTCTTTCTCTCTCTCTCTCTCTCTCTCTCTATTTCTATTTCTATTTTTCCCCTAAAAAAAAGATAGTTTACAAAAAGTATAAAAAAATATGAACAGTTCACATGTGCATAACGATTTAGTTTCGAGCTTACGTTAGACGACCACTCTCTTCTTTTGCTATTAATGTCCCAAATGAGCAATACGATTATAAAGACGTCTCTCTTTCTCTTTATCTCTCTCTCTCTCTCTCTCTCTCTCCCTCTTTTTCTGACGTTGAGTTACAAAGGCGAAACGAAACTTAACTTTATTCCAAGTACGTGCGTGTATGGGCGCGTAACGCAGCCGCTTTGCGGTGCAGTGAATTTCTCGTCGTTAGATTAAATGTGTTACGCGAAAGAGAAGCAACCCTTTTTATATCTTTCTCTCTCACTTTCTCTACGTCTATCTTTATCTCTTTCCTTCTCTATCAAACTCTAGAGAGCTTCTTTTGCTTCCATCTCTCTTCTCCATTCCTCTCTCTCTCTCTTTCTCTCTCGGTCTATCTCGCTCACGTTTTCTCTGTCTCATCGTGGCATCCTTTCCACGTGGCAAGCCGCGGTCTGGTTATTGTCGAATTCAATTACGATTTTGCGAAGAGGAAACGCGGTTGCGGTGCGCCGAGCAACTTTGACGAAGGTCGTAACGGCGTCTCCTTCATGAGAGCCGCAGGGCTTGTTGTTATTTGATCGACGAGAGCGACATGACCGTACCGAAAAGAGAGCTCAACCCTTATCGAATATTCCTCGTTCAGTGAATAATTTTCGAAGCATATGCAACGATAACGAGATAAGGGACGAATATGCGACGATGGAAGAACGAGGGCAAAATGTGCTGATAAATGACAAGATACTTATA